CCCCAAAACCCCAAAACCCCAAAACCCCTTCCCTTCTCCATAAAACTGAAGCAGACTAATTTTTGCATGAACTTCAAGGAATTAGATCATTAGTCAATTTCAATTACCTCAGAAGCTTGACTTGGCTTGATAGCTTTCTTCTGGATTCTAGCTTCCTTCGGTCTTCTTGCTGGCTCTATCATCTCCTTGTAATCCCTGTTGAGAGTTATGCTTCCATCCTCTCCAAGACAAAAGATGTCAGACTTGATCTTGAAAAATTCTGGGAGTTCCTCCTCGACATTTAGGAAAAGATCGCTGAGTCTGCAGGTAGTCGCTTCTTCAAACTCACTTGAGCAATCTGACATGTAGATCTTCTTTTTAGCTTGTATAATTGTTTTGAATACCTTGATCACATAAGTAGCTTCAGCCAACAGAGGAGGAGGGATCATACTCAAATGCTTATAATTATCCAAACTCAAAATTCCAAGGATCTGTAAAGCTGCAATATCCCCGTAATGGATAGTGACTTCATCAATTGGACCTTCTCTTTCAAGGATAAGATACTCTTTGAACATCTTGGGCTCTTCTTCTTCGGCATTCTCTTTGTCTGCGCCTCCCCAGCCGTCTGTGCTCTGCTTTTCATCATTACCCCAGCCTGAGTTGTCTTGATCAGTTCTTCTTCTTTTAAAGGGACCGCTTTTAACTTCAAAGGTATCTCCTTCCTTTACACTCATGCTTTGATAAGCAACTTTGACATCTCCCTTCCTTAAAGACTGTTGAAAAGCATCTACAAAAATTAGTAAGTGACAAGATACCATGGCTGATGCTTCTCATGACTCCAGCTGGTTTTAGCTCTCCTTCTCTACAGTTAAAGAACCTGATGTGGACAGTTCCAAAATATTCTGGGCCGATGTAGTCAAGTCTCTAAACCAAAATTTAAGAACAGAAGGGAAGTGTAAATACCTTATAAATCCTTTTTCCAAACCTGTCGGTCTCGAAAGACTCATCGACTTCAAGTTCTTCCTTGTGCTCTTCTTCACCTTGGGGAGGAATGCTGAAGAGGAACTCCTTGAACCTTCCTCCGCCTTGTTTAAAGCCGTGATAGCATCCCTTTCCTTTGATGGTCTTCTTGCCTCTGACACTCTAAAGGGTAAGCATGAGCAGGCTTACCTTTCCATCTAGGTAGAGATGGCAACCATAAGAGTCGTCAATGTACTGCTCATCGACGAAGAGACTTATCTTAAATGGCTGATTGTTCTCAACACAAATATAGCATTTCTTCTCAGGTGTGATCAACTCAGTAAACGCTCTTTGGACTTTTGAGTTCAGGACTGATACCTATACATTTGAGATATGAGTATGTGTAGAAGGATAAGTAAGATTAGATACATCTTGGCTACTAAGAATTCTATGTATCTTCTTCACTTAGACTCTTTCAAAAAGTCTCCTCCAAATCCAAGGAGATCTGTGAAAAAATGGAGCAGAATCCAAATATTACATTTAGTACTCCACACATGCCATGACTTACCTTGAACATCCCATTCTTTGACACAGGCATTTCAGTAAAAGAGTTAACTAAATATTATTAAAAATTCCCAATTTTAGCTGAAAACTAAGGGGTTTTGGGGTTTTGGGGTTTTGGGGG